TGGGTCAAGGCGTTTAAAAACTGACGTCAGCAGGAACCTTGTCACAGTCACTCCTTCCTGTGAAGTTTCAATGGGCAGCAATTTAAGTAAAATAAGAGTGACTTCCACAGAAGCTGCCAAACTGACGAAAGGGTAGGTACTTGGCTGGGAAGCACTGTAGCAAAGAAGAATGTTTTCAGGGAGCAGCCAGGGACTCTGGCACTAGGCCCTGTGAGGGGTAATAATGAGGATCCCAGGACAAGCCTCTGTCTTCATTTGCTGCTTGTAGAGTATGCACAGGAAAGGGGCATTAGTAGCACTGGAACTAAATCTCTGATCTGACTTATCTAATGCTCTTTTTGTTACATATCTGCTCCTCCCCTAGTTGTGACTACCAAAAATGTCTCTAGACATTGCCAAATAATCCCCGGGGCCGGGGAGGGGTGGGTGGGAGGGGTCTAACTACTCCTAGAGAACCAATGAGATAGATTTGATTTAAAAAGTTTTAAGAACATAATGTTAAACCTCTCCAAGACTTGAATTTCGGAAGAGGCCTTGAAAGCCTACTAAAATCGTATTACACATCTAAAACTTTAACTCTGTCAATGTAAGAAATGTCCAAACCTGTAAGAATTTTTGTGAGTTTTTATGAGCCAAACTGATGATAATTGCTGGGAAACAAAATCCCAATGGGTTGAGAAAATGCTCTGGAAAATGGCAGTTTTACCACTTATGTTATACATCAGAATCAAAGGGGAAGATGTAAGGAGGTTACATGAAATTCATTGGCCACAAATTAGGAAGGCAGGAGCAAGCAAAGGGTGTTTGGGGGGAAATCTCTGGGATTGGATAAAAAGTAAAATGAATAGCCCTGGCCAGTTTTGCTCAGTGGTTAGAGAGTCGGTCTCTGGACCGAAGGGTCATGGGTTTGATTCTCCATAAAGGGTGTGGTGTGTATGTGGGTTGTAGGTTTGATCCCTGACCTGGTTGGGGTTGTGTGGGAGGCAACCAATTGATGTGTCTCTCTCACATTGTTTCTCTCTCTCTCTTTCCCTCCCTTCCTTCTACTCTATCTAAAATGTCCTTGGGTGAGGACTAACCAAAAAAAAAAAAAAAAAAAAGTAAAAGGAATAGACACCATACTTCTTTTACATAGGTGGGAATAGGGTAGTTAACAATTAACATGATAATAACAATGAGAGGATTTGCGGTCTCTGCTCTGGTGCAACCATTGTGCTTTGAGGGGTCAAAAAAAAAAAGAAAAAAAAGAAATTACTTTGATATTGATATTCCAAAGGTATATTAGCAGGTATGTTATTTTACATGTAAAAAAAAAAATGACACAGACAGGCTCAGTTAAGGTAAAGATTGACTGTTGTTAGGTAAAAATATCAGCCTAAGACATGACTATCCACCATGAACTGCTTTTAGTTAGAACGTTTTAACTTCAGACCATCCTATGTGGTTATTTTAGGTCTCTGAGTGTGTAAGGCCACCATGTAGGCCTCCCCTGAGCTTGTCAGGTTTAGTATGTGGACCCCCGTTTTTTGTCCACAGTTCCTACCATGTTTGTATAGTGGAGAGACTATAACTGAAGGACTGACTATAGAATGAATCTGGTCAATTAAAAAAATTAGTTATTAACATTTTAAAATCTGACTTTCACATTTAAAAGTCAGAATTTCTGACTTGTATAGGAAAATTGGAACTATGGCAATACCAGGCCTACAGTCCCACATGGCACATGTTTGGATGGAGTTGAGTGGGGGAAGGTCATTAAATTGAATGTATGCTTATGAGTTTGCCACAGTTCCTACCACTCCTATTACCTTATATCCTGTTTCACTTATTTACATTACTCTTGATCTCTATAGGCAATTTATTTTCAACCTCTGAAGTGCTTTATAGTTTTAAATTATTTCTTTCCCTTTTTAAAAAAAAATCCTCATTGCAGGATATTTTTCCATTGACTTTTAGACAGTGGAAGGGAGGGGGGAGAGAGAAACATTGATGTGAGAGAGGCACATCCACTGGTTGCCACCCATATGATCTCCACTGGGATGGGGATCGAACCTGCAACCCAGGTAACTGCCCTTGATCAGGTATTGAACTCACAACCCTTTGGTCCACAGGCCAAAGCTCTAATGGCTGAGCCAAACTAGCCAGGGTTAAATTATTTTCTACGTGTTATTTTACTTCAGCTTTGATAACCCATTAAAATAGAAGTTAAATACTGTGATTATCTCGATGTAAGCAAAATGTAGTTCAGAGAGGTTTGACTTGTCCAAACTTACACAGTAAAACCAGAATCTAGAATTCCTGACTTTCAATTCTGTTAATTTTGGGGAGAAAATTTCTATTAAACAATTCATTTAGTAGTTCATGGAACAAAATCCAAATAGATATGGGCATAACTGCTAGAATAGATGAGTTGCAACTGCTAAGCTGTTTGAGAATCACTGAATCACTGCTAATGATTAACTCTTCTTCTTCTTCTTTTTTTTTATCCTCACCAGAAGACATTTTTGCATTTATCCTTAGATAGAGCTGGAGGGAGAAAGGAATGAAGAGAGAGAGAGAGAGAGAAACATCAATGTGAGAGAGACACATCGAGTGGCTGCCACCCACATGACCCCAGACTCCAACTGGGGCTGGAGACAAACTGCAATCAATACAGGTGCCCTTAGTAGGAACTGAACCTGGGACTCTCTGGTCCTGGTCCGTGGGCCGATGTTCTAACCGCTGAGCCAAACCGGCCAGGGCAACTGTTCTTCTTTTAATGAGTATTTCTGCTTCCCTGCTCCTTCAGGAATATGAAGACACTGCCCTTCTAGCTGTCTTGAAGTTGGGTGTGACTATATGACTTGCTTTGGCCAATAAAGTTGAGTGGAAGTGATATTTGTCCCTCTGAGGCAGAAGCATTTAAGAGCTCATTCACACTTTTTCATGCTTAGGGAAGGGGAGACTCTAAGCTTCATGGTGACATGACAGGATCTCAAAGTGGTGGAGCTCCATCTGCTTGGGTACCTGAATAACTTATAATGAGCAGAGGACCCCCACCCACTACTCTTGACATGTGGTGTAAGAGATAAACCTTTGTGGTTTTAAGCCATTGTGATTTTGACATTGTTACTACAGCATAACCTGGCCCAACCTGACTGATACAAGGATTTGTTTGCATGGTCATTGAACTCCAAGAATTAAAATGCAATTCCTAGACCTCTGATCATTCACTAAAAGTTGTAGTTCCTATCTGGAAGACAGTGAGAGTCAATTGTTGACTTTTAACCCCCAGCTTCCTCATCTATCACAACCTTCTAACTTGGAAGAAAATTATTTTCTGAAACCTTACACATGAGCTCTCCACTATTCTGGCAGTTAGATTGGGAGGAGAGGGAGGCCCAAATCTTTACTCCATTCCAAAGCCTAATCCCAGAACTATCTCCACCCACTAGTACTCATATAACCTTGTCATAGGGCGACTATTACCCCTCCCAAGGTGTCACAAACAGAAAGGAGTTGCCGCTGGCACCACTGCAATGTTAGGGCAAGGCAGCCAGGCTGCGCTCTTTCCTCACTGGTGTCTGGGCTTGGCTAAGTCCGGAGAAGCAGCATTCTCTAAGGGAAAGAAGCCTTCTCAAGTGGGAACAAAAATGAGTGTGAGGCGCACACCCATCCCGGGCACTATGTGAATTTGGGGTGAGTTCTTCTAGTACTCCAGCTCCGGTCAATTTCTAGTGGCTTTAGACGAGGGGCCAATAAGCTGCCCTGCTTGGTACTACTGGGCCTCTCAGTTTTGCTGGGTTTTTCTCAAGCCCACATGTGCTTGTCATCTTTGCACACTTGCAAAGGTCATAAACGGTGGGGGTGGAGCGCAACGAGAGCTTCCACAACCGGACCGGTGGCGGGATCAAAGGTCGGTGGGGCCGCCGAGAGGCTGAGCCTGCGCAGTCCTGCTCCCGCCTCGGAGAGAAGGGGTGGCGGCCACGCAGGCTCGTTCCACCGCGTGCTCGCAGAGGCGGGAAAGCCTTAGGCTGGGTTGCCGCATCCCTCCCTTTTCCTGCCTCGTCCATCTATCTGCCCAGAGAGCTGGTCCTCCTCAGGCGGCCAGGCTTCGGGGGAGGAGGACGCGAAGGGCCCTGGGATTCTGACTCATCATCTCCTACCCCTTTCTCGCGCGCGCTCCAAGTCTCAGGACTTTGGACCTGGGCACTGTGGGAGGGGGCGCGGCGACAGCATCTGGGGAACCCCAGCTTTGCTGAGGCCACCCCCCCGCCCCTGCCGGTTTCTGAAGCTACCTGAGAGAGGACTGTGGAACCAAAGTCAACTCTCAGTTGCCGCTGTTGGGGTAGCGGCACCTCCTTTCAGAATAACCCGCCTGGCTCCTCCCTGAACGCCGGGCCAGTGGTCGCGTCCGAGGAAACTGGGCTAGGCCCGGACTTCCAGCACCTCGCGTCACTCAGCGATGCACAGCGCCCTCATCGCGGAGAAAAGGCTCTTTATTTCCCAGCAGGCCACGGGGCAGCGGGGCATTCTGGGACTTGTAGTCTCTGCTGGAGTAAGGAACCAGTCAGAGGGAGAGAACTAAAGCATCCAAGACCTGATTTCGGAGAGTCGGCGGGCTTGTTCGGGAACCCGGGGCTTGGAGTGAATGGGATTATGAAAGGTGGAAAGAAGAGAAATAGTGAGATGAGGAAGATATGAAACGGTATGGGGAGGAGGTGGGCAAAAATGGAAGGGAGGAAGCTGAAAGTTGGCCTAAGGATGTCCTGCATCAGAGCAGCTTTTCAGGGCAGTGAGGTGAGAGAAGAATCTGGTCTAGGTACAGCTTCCCCTAGAAGAAAAAGGGTCCTAGTCTGAGTGGAAATTGAAGACATTCCACCGGCCTTCATGTAGGTCTCCATCTAGCTTCATGTAGGGGCTCAATCTAGCTTCTGAGTTTGGTGGGGTGGGGTGCAGGAGGGTCAGGAGAAGGCTCCCACAGGGTAGAAGAGCAGCACCTGTCTGCTTCCCTTGCCAGCTTATTCAGTTGTTCGGTTTGCTGTGCTAGCCACCTCGGGACCATTCTCCAAATCAGGAACTTCCTCCAACACAGAGAGACCCTGGAAACCAGACAGAGGTGTGAGGGGTGAGAAAGGAGGAATCCCAGACAGAAGCAACTTCCTCCTCCTCTCTCATTTTTTCTTGTATTCTCATAGCCTCTCCAATATTTAGGCAGCTTCTTAATGCTCTCCCACATTTCTAGGTCCAACCATTTAGATACCTAATTCCCTCTTACCCACCACTAGAGAAATATCCAAAGTCAGAAAACCAATCAGCTTGAGTCTAGGACCCCTTCCTTTCTTCTCTGCCCCATTGCTTTCCCTTAAGTGTCATTGGCCAGAATAGATATAGAAAAAAATGAGCTCCTCCATATATTCCTCCCTGCCCTCAGAACCTGCTGCAGCTCCTGGTAGTGTAGACTCTCTCTCCTGCAGCATCCTGGCTTCCTCTGGCTTAGCAGGAGTAGGGAATATGCTGAGACCAGCACTCCGCCTAGGGTGAAGGCCTCAGCACTGAGCTCCAGCACCAGCAAGCCGTTCAGCTGCAGATAGACAGGGCTGAGGATGCTATAGGCGACCCAGCATTTATTTGCCCCTGCCCTTATCCCTCTCCATCTCCTCTTCCCTCCTCATCTTCCCATCTTCTCCAACTTACCTGTACCACGGAGGAGGCAGCAGCTGTGTTAGGCCCCAAGGCTGTCTTCATCACTTCAACCACCACCACGATGAGGCCAAAGATCAGATTGATGGTGTTTAATATCATCATGGCCCGCACCTGCCAGCGAGCCAGTTCAGCCCTGCCTAGCCTAGGGGGACTCTTTGCAACCCCAAGCCCAACCTGCACCTACCCAAAAACAAAACTCAGTGTTTATTCTCATACTTCCTAACAGGGCCATCAGCCCTCCAAGTTTTTTGCTTGTTGTTCTCAGTCTTTTAGGACAGTCAGAGGCAGAGAGCTGACAGTATTAGTATTAGAGAGCCACTTTCTGGGCTGAGGTGTGTTTATGTGTGTGTGTGTTTTGGGAGGGTGGAAAAATAGTATTGCATTCTCTTTCCCTCTCACCTTCCAAAGGTGGGGTGCTCTGCGCAGTTCAAGGGTAACAATCCCAGTGAGGAAACCCTGAATAGTGAGAAAGCAAGTGTTGAGCTCTGGCCCTATTAGTGAAGGGCCCCCAGGATCTTCCTTCCACCCTCTGCTGTGTTGGGTCTTACCAATGCTCCAGGTCCAAGCGGCAGTGCTGTGGCCATGTGATAAGCAGAGTTCAGGCAGGCAACTGAGACAGCAAGGGGCACCACAGCTACTGCTAGCCATAGTTGGCTCACCTGGAGGCCAGATGCCGGGTGGTTGAAGGGGAACTGTCAGGGATTCCCTTCCCTCCTCCCAACCCCTACCTCTTCCAGAGATCAGCAATTGGCAGGAATACCTGGTGCTGGAAAGTAGTCAACCAAGGGCAGTGAAGGAAAAAGCTATAATTTAATTTGTTCTGCCTCATGTCATAGTTTAGTTACTTACCTATGTGCTTTTCCCACATGATGGAAGGTACTTGTAGATTAAGGGTTTTACCTTATTTATTCTATGCTTTTTCCACCCTTTACCCTCCTCCCTCTCAGAGTCTAGCAGTTTCAAACACATGGTAGGTGTTCACAAAACATGGATGGAATTGAATTGGGGTACAAGTGGATATGCTGAAGCTTGGGATGGGGCATCTTGGCCTCACCGCCAGCACCAAGAGCTGCCCACTCTGCCTGTGCCTTGCCCAGTGCTGTAGCTTTTCCAGACGAAGGTTGTGTCTCTCTTGCTCTTGCTGACTAGCTCTGTCCTCCATGGCTTCCTTGATCACTGAAACTCCACTGAAGCTTGGTGTTTCCCTGGGAAAAATACATTATGGCACCTATCAGGAGACAGGTCATGCAGGAACCTCAATTTCAGCTGCCCCTCTGCGTGCTTCTAATATCCACGAAGTTGAGGCTCAGGACCTCTCACCTACCTAGTCTGAAGCAGCTACTCCAAAGGGATGGGACCCAGATGGGCCTGGAGCTCCTGACGGGGCCTGGTAGCTCAGAGCAGACAACACACTTGTCCTGGCAGAGACAGGCTGTCAGAGTTGGGGTGTGGTGGGGCAAAGGTCCCTAAGAGGACCTAAGAATCCAGGGAGTGGCCGTAGGTAGATACCAATCTCTGTTCATGCCACAAAATATCCAGCTCTGCTGCTCTCTGTTCCTGTTTCCTGTTGCCCCCATCTCTGCCCATCCTGGGTTCCTCTTCCGATCACTCATCCATGGAGACTGGGTACCTCCCTGGGCCCCAATTCCCCCTCCCCCATTTATATCTAATCTTTCTCTTTTTTTTTTTTTTGGCTTCCTCCTCAAATTACTTGCTGTTCCCTAGGGAAATCCCACATTATTGTCTGGATTGTTCCCATGTCATTACCACTTGCAGCTTTGTCCCAAGACCAGTCAAGGTTTAATTCCTCTGGCTTTCTGTCTGTTACTTTCTGAATGGTTTCTCCTCTCTCCTTCCTTTTTTGAAGGATTTACTCTGGATGGGACACTGACAAAGTAGATGGGGAGCCCTATTTATAGTGGGGATTGTTTTTGGCTCAGTGATAACCTATAGCTAGACATGTATAGAAAATAGTCCCTAAATGGTCAGTCTTGGGAAGAACACTATTGCAACAATTAATATTTTTGAGGATACAAGCTGCCTTGTAGCCAGGCTGACCTGGAGTAAAATCTCAGCTCTGCCACTTTCCTAGCTGTGTGACCTTGAATACATTATTCTACCTATTTGAACCACTGTTTGTTCAAACTGAGCGATAAAACGGGGGCTAATAATATGACTGTGAAAGGGTTGTTGACTCATGGTGGGTGCTTAGTAACCATTAGTGGTGCCGATGAGGTCATACTGTTGTGCTTGATGCCCATATACTTATTCAGAATCTAAGCTGGGGATATTTATTTCTACAGTAAGAAGCAGAACCAGCTGGGCCCAAATATATACTCTGGAGATCAAAAATAGTAAAGGTCCATCTTGATGCAGAGCCTGAGGTTTGGAGGCATCTGTGTTCAAATCCCAGGTCTACCTGGTTGACCTTGTGCAAGTTACTTAATCTCTCTGTTTCCTTACCTGTAAAAGGAAGTTAATACTACCACAGGATTCCCTTGAGTATTAGAAGAGAAAATGCATATAAATTAGCTCAGCCCAACACCTTCCACATAAGTGCTCAATAAATGTTAGTGGCTATTATCATTATTATTATTGATGATGAAAGAAGACCCCTGGGAGTAAGTACCAGGAGACCAGGTCCTGGGAGGAAAGTGGCCTTTGTAAATCACTTATGCCCTGCTCAGTACTGGGCCAACACTCGCTGGAGCATTGTGTCCACTCTTCTTTCCTGGGGAGTGGAAATCACACTTAAAAGGGATGAGGACTGTTGTGCATCTACTCCCTCCTCTATCCCCATGTGTATTAACTTTATTTGGTGGTGATGGATGGCCTGACAGAATGTGAGATGTTGGGCTTGCACTGAGGATCCCGGAGCTGGCAGGGCAGTGGAAAAAGACCCTTTAGCCATGTTTTCCTTACCTATAAATGCAGAACAATATTTCAGATTGTTATTGTAAGGATTATACACTATTAAATATGTGAACAGGCATTCAGTAATTATTGATTGAGTATACTAAACAATTTGTGACCCCTGTCTAGATTATAATCTCCTGGAGGGAGGGTACAACCCTCCCCTCATCCGTTCATCCCCCACAGCGCTGAACATAGGGCTTGGTACTTAGTAAGCACTCAGTAAATATTTGTTGTATTGGAGAGCCATTAAAGTGACTTAAGGAATGGAAAATAGAATTCGAGAGGAAGGCGCTGGAATTGTTTATCAAGAACAGAAAGGACCGAGGAGTAACTTTAATAATGTTTCTTATACGGCAGACATTAACTATCTCTATAATCGCCCCTCCTCCTCCCCCCAAACAGAGACAAATTGTAGGGAGAGGCTTTGAGATAAAACCCCAGGAAGAACTTCCCGAGTCTGTGCATGTTGGGGCAGAAAAAGCGGCAGAGCCAACTCCTTCCCTGGTATGTCCGGGTTTAGGGTGGGAGGGGCAGCGCTGCTTGGAGGCTGGGGGAAGGACGAGATGACCTTTCAAAATCTCTTCCAGTCTTCAGTAGAAATCGTCTGTGCGCCCCACCCCCTCCCTCCCTCCCTCCGACAGCGCCCCCCGTCTCCAAACTGCCCGCACCCCGCCCCTGGCGGCCGCCTCTCGCGGCTCCCGGGGTTCCCAGCTCCCAGTCTCCGGAGCCAGAGCCCCGCTCCCGCGCGGCTCCCAGCGCCGCCGCGCCGCCCCCCGCATGCTAATGGCCGGGCCGCCTCCCGCCGCACACAATGCGGGCCAGGGCCGGGGGCGGGGGACCGGGGAGGGGGCGGGGGGCGGGGGCCGGGCCGGGGGCGGGGGGGCCGGGGCCCGGCGCATCTCCCCCGGCCCCACGTAACGCTGACGCCCGCGCCGCCGGCCCGCCGCCCGCCGCCGCCGCCGCCGCCGCCCGCTCCGCCGCCACCCGCCCGGGGCTCGTGAGTAGCCGCTCCCCCCACTCCCGGCCCCCCCTCCGCCATCCGGCCCCCGCCCCCGGCCCCCTCCCCCCTCCCGGAGGGGGGGCCCGCTCCGCGCGCCGGGCTCGGAGCAGGTGCAGGGGGCGGGGGCGGGGGAGGGGCGCCGGCTTGGCCCCAAGCAAACTTCGCCCAGAGCTCCTGGGGGGGCTTTGGACTCCGAAGCCTGGAGTGCTAGGGGGGTCTCGAGGGAGGGGGCAGATGGGGGAGCCCGGAAAGGGGGCAGCAAAGGGGAAAGGCCAGCGGGGGTTGGGGGGACGGGGACGGGCGTCTTTGTAGGGGCCCGAAGGCAGGGCGCGAGGGGCCTGGGGGTGCAGGGCTGCGGAGCCCGGAGCCAGAGTGGATGACGGCCCCCCCGGCCCAGGTAGGGCCGATGGAGGAGGGGGAAGGGACCCAAACTCTCTGGGAGCAGGGGTGGGGGAGGGGAGAGGATGGGGGGGTGCTTCCCTCTCTGCGTCCCAAACAAAGTGTCACAAAGAGCTCGGCCGGCGGCAGCAGCAGAGGCGGCTGCAACTCAGCTTTTGTTCTCCCGGCCTGGGTAGCTGAGCCCTGGCCTTCCAATCTTCCAACCCTGCCCCCCATCATTCTTTTGGCTTATCTTCCCGGGGAGGGGTCTGGGTGCTGCTAGAAGAACCTCTTGTGCAGGATCACAGGTCCTGCCCTACTTGTCAACCTACTTGTGGGAGGTGGATTTTCCCAGAGGCTCTCCTGCCCACCCCCCACCCCCTAATCCCAGGACTGAGGCCCATATGGGTGCTAAGACTCTGACCTTTCTAGGATCAATTCCAGTTAAGGGGACTTAGGGCCGGCTATATGCCCCCTCCCCCAAATCCAGAACTTTCAGAAGAGGGGTCAAGTTGGGACATGCCTCTGGAGTAAGATTCACCATGGTGGGGTGGCAGTAAGTGAGCAGGTGTACCTTCCTCTTGCTTACTGCTGTATATTTGGAGTCCATGACTAAATTCCACGCCCCCAACACAGGACAGTGAGGATGGAGGGACAGAGGCTTTACCAAGAACTCAATGTAAAAGGTGGGCAAGCTGTGGTCTGGGATCAGTTTGGAGGAGCTACTTGAGCAGTGAGGTTCAGAGGGCCATGGAGAGGAGATCATAAAAATGAACTACCGGGATGTCTGTGATAAAGGTGGTCTTGACTCTAGACCATCTAAGAAGCTTCTTTAACCTCATATAGTGCAGTGTTAATCATAATTGTTAAAGGACTTGTGGAGGTGTAACAGGAAAAAATGAGTATTAGAAATGATCAGCGACAGATGTCTAGTCACAGCGATACCTCAGAAGTCCTGAACCCTTCCTTGCCCCTTACACTTTGACTCTAAAAACTTTTGAACCACAAGGCTTGAGGGACAGACAATTCATGGTCCTTTAGTCAGCAGATGTTTCTATGTACCTGTCCCTGTTGTTTCTAAGAGTCTTCTCACCAAGCCTTCCATTCTTTCTTAGTGCGGTTTGGTGGTCCACACCCTCTTCCCCACCAGTTCTCTTAGCACATGAAAGTAATTAGCCTGTTGCTTTGGGAAGATTTCTAATCCCTATCCCTGGCCTTGCATCCCTATAGAACCCAAATAAGGGCAAGATAACCCCTGAGTCCCAGTGGGGGAGGAAAGTAGGTCAGTGCTACTGTCTGGCCAAGTCTCGTGGATGGTGTTTAGGGCCTGACTATAGAAAACTCTGTTGATTATTGTCTACAAGCAATACATGCATGACCCAGGTTCTAAGAATCTTGGGCCCTGTCAGTGCTTTCTCCTATTGAGAAAAGCTCATGGGATTAGGTGCCTGGGACCTGGTTTGGTGTGGAGGTGATTCAGAAGATCTTGATTGTGCTTAGAGGGTCTTTCAGCGGGCTTTATTGACTTGTGGCCACCCTTTGGGGAAAGTTTCTCTGCTTGGGAATATAGCTTCAATGTGAGTCTTCTTGTATATCACTGTATTTCTGTCTGGAAACTGCTATGTGCAAAGCAGGTTTTTGGGGGGTGGAGGGAAGAAGCTTTGCCCTGTTCTTACTCTACTTGCCTGGGATATGAGGTCAACTTCCCCTGAAGTATTTTATTTACTATCCTACAGGCAGTTTCAGGGGCCCTATAATCTTTTCAGAATCAGAGTATGTGCCCGTAGGTTAGTCAGCTATGACCATGCAGTATTCCCAGCCTTCCCCCTCCTCCCCCACCATCTGCTTCTTCTGAATATACCAGATTG